CCGCGAAGATGAAAAGCCATGAGGCGCTAGTCTGGGAACCCCCAGCCCTACTCTGAAATTACTTTGGGTTTAGGGTTTAAGGCCTTCTCTTACCGGGGGGTTATAGGGAAAAAGGGAACATATCTATCTGTACATATATATATATATTTATATAGGGTTCAAGGTTTAGGAGGAAATACGGGAAAATGTTATGTAGGGGATTATATTCAGAGCATTTTCCCCTCTTCCCTGCTAAACACCAGCAACTACGTGTTCGGCTTTCACCCTTAACCCTAAACCTCTAATTGGGCTTGTGGGGTACGTTTTGAAGAGCTGGTTTGTCATCAACCCTTGAGGCCCCTCTTTCCCCAAATTGACAAGAGGGTTTAGGGTTTAGGGAAGCCTCAAACCCCAAAATCCTCAACCCTGAGCCTCAAAACTCGCACCCTGAAAATCCAATCCCCAACCGTAACTATGTCTCTGAGGGTTGTAGGGCGTTGTAGGCACGCAGCCCGGCCGGTCACAAAGTTCACTAAATGTAGGCTCTCCTCAGAAACCTTTCACCAGGCAGACGTGAGGTAGTAGTAATCCCCTCCACCAAACAATCAAAACCCCACCCCTTATATGACATTTTCCATCGTGGGAATATAATGAAGGAAGTGGGATTATGTAATATTAGGGGACTGGGGGATTTTGAATCTAGGATGATGACTACTGATACAACAATAACATACCGGAATTACCGAGTGCCTGAAACCCTGGGCTTGTAGTACTGACAGGTCGGCCATAATAGGGCGCCAAACAATGAGTTGCACCAATTTTCTGGGAACTAATGTGGATTACCGGAATACTTTTAATGGAGTTTGTGACTTCTGTGGTGTGCGTTGTTTCTGTAAACCTTACAGCTTCTATGGTATATCCATGCTCCTGCTGAGTACTACAACCCCCTAGATTTAAACCGCACAATTTTGGCCAAACAACGGGCCCCAGAGCACAATCTAAGAGGCTTGAGGAGCTTCAAAATCCTAAATTCTAAGAGATGAAGCGTAAATCTTGAATCCTCAAAGCCTAAACAAGGAAGGCTTTGTTTACTCACTTGGCTGCCCTTAAACTGACCAGAAAAGGGAGTTGATTTTGGGACTGATCTGCTTGTTCAAAAAGTCAATCGCAATCCAAGGCTCAAACATTACTTCCTGAGCTACCCGTACGGACCTTGCGTGAGAGGATCTTTCTAAAGATGTATGGAAAACCCATAGAATCATAAAGTGTTTTTCATGGTCATTAGTTTTGACACCTTTTCATCATTAAAACCAAGTGAAATCCATTTCAAGCTGGTTGACACCAGATTAAAACAACATTGAAATCCAATTGAACTTTGTTTACCATCAATTAAGCCGAGCGAAAAGCAGATAGGTGCTTCAACCCAGAACCCTACCCCCTAAACTCTAAGAGTAAGAAGCAAGAGCAAGAGTGAGCGCCGGAGGCTCAAGAATGAGATTCATTAGGGTGATACTTTTTGTTCTCCTCTACTCTGTGCTCCAAGAAACTGCTTTTATATGCTCTGACCGTTCAGAACAATGATCATCAAAATATCCTGATGTCTGTGAGTTCAACATCTGGGAACGCGAGCTGTCGAAACTGACAATCTAACCCCCTAGACCTCACACCTAGAACCTCAACTCGAAAAGTAGTCAGCCATAAACGGGGATCCTGCGGAGAGCCTGCAACTACCGTTCTCAAGCTGTACAATGCCCCGGATGCTGTTCTTCCATTGCATCCAGGCGAACATGAACAGGAGCTTTCGCTGCTTGACCGCATGTTCAGACTGCTGACGAATATGTGGCGGCTTATACACTGTGATGGGAAACTTGCAAAAACTCCATGGTCCAGGTCTGAAATCCTATGATGCAAGTGTTTGGCCAACTTGTGAGGCAGCTGCTACTGCCTGAGTTGTCCGCCATTGCGTCGACGACATATATAGCCTTTCATGACCTTGGCATGACAACATCAGAAATTGGCCAGAATCATACTGCAAGGCTACGGGGGCAACGGCTTAAGTAGAGGGCCGCACGTAAATTATGCGATTTGCCCATAGCCAGTAGTGGGCCCAGCCACGACCTCCGTCTCTGAGCCCCCTCTAGCCCTTCTACACATACTGTTGATGGAGGTAGTCCCCAAAGTCCTAGGACTTACAATGGTTTAGGGCCCCTAGGTGGTGCAAGATTTCATCCATCAACAGTACCAAATTCTTAGTGTGATCCTTTTCTTCACCCTAACATGATTGGAGTGGTGCGGCAGCTGACACAAAATGCCAAACGGCAGCCGCTACTACCCATACGCTCGGACCCAGATCCTCTCATCCATTTAGTGAACCAATCTTCCTAGAAATCTAGGTTCTACGACCCTCACATAAACCTTCTGAGTATGCAGATTAGACGATGACGTGCAAGGAGTCGTAGTCTTGGCCCGCCTCCAAACCCTGATCCCCAAAACCATAAGCCCCAAAGCCTGTATTCTGTCAACAGCCGCGGTTGATACTAATACCCCTGCATGCCCTAAAGTCCCATATACCTTCAGGGTGGCATAGTACACTAAGCTCATGCAAGCTTTTCCACCCACGAAAGTCTGCCCTGAACCCGAAACAGTCTTTCAACACGAAACCCAAAACCTTGAACCCCTAAGCCTAAAGCCTGTGAACCTCATCATCTCACCCTTCCGATCCCGACGTTTGTCCCTTTATAGGACAAATGCCAACTTTAGGTTCAGAGTTGAGGGTTTGGGGTTGACAGTTTAGGGTTTAGGGTTTAGGGTTGAGGGTTTGGGTTTACGGCTAAACCACTAAGCCTGCCCTAGGAAGCTTTGGGGAGCACTAGGGGGGATATAACCCTAAACCACATTACCTGCCTTGCCGACACACCCATCGCACTGCTTCTGATGTGCAGCCTCTGCTCCAAGCAGGGTAGCCAAAAGGCGGTTTAGGGTTTAGGGGCTAGACTCGTTCAGTTTCAGGTTTAGGGTGCAGGGCACGTGTTTCTGGTTTACGGGTCTAGGGTTTAATGGTTTAGGATCTGGGTTTGCAGTTCCACGGAAACTGTCCTGAAAGGGTTGTTATTTAGGGGCCATTATGACTCCCCAAACATCTTGTTGGGGCATCCTGACTGGCCATAGAGTTTAGGGTGGTATATGCTAGGTATGCAATGTCCCCAAACCGTCCCATGCTCAGGGCCCAGAGGGTCGCCGTTCTTTGTTTCCTAAGCTTTCCACCCTCGCCTCAAATCCTAAACCCCTCAAACCCCAAAAGGTACCAACCCACAAGCCCCAACTCTCTTCTCCCCACCTTTTTGTTCCCCAGCTACTCCCAACAGGCTAACCCTGGAAGGGCTTGGGTAGTTCCCCCTTGCAGTAGCAGTTACCACAATGGCTAGGAGGGTTCAGGGTTTAGGCTTTAGGGTTTATAGGAGTCATGATAGCCCCGTTAATCAGGACCCTTTAAGGACAGCTACTGTAAGGGGGAATGACCCAATTTAGGGTGTAGCAATCGCACTATGGCGCCCCACACCCTGAACCTTGAAACATAAACCTTGGTCCCAAAATCTGACGACCTCAAAAACTCAAAGGACCCCCAACCACTCTAAAATGAGGCCTATGTAGGTCCTAGTGCTTGGAGGGGTCTATGTCAACCGTGAAGCCTCCACCCCAAAATCCTGCACCTGAACATGCAGCCTCAAAATGAAAAGCACCGCCTTAATTAACCCCCAAAGTATGTAGAACAATTGACTTTCTAAACTGCGTTACATGTTTTGGGCCCTTATTTTACCTAAAACTGTAACAGTAGGGTGTAAGGTGGACTTCGGATGTAGGTTCTTCAGAAAGCCGCAAGAAGATTCCTCTTATCCCGTTTCTGTCGGAAGTGGTAGAGTAGAGCTTAGGGTTCCGGGCTTACGCCTGCTTGCACCCCCTTAAACCCTAAACCTAAGCCCCCAAACCTGAAAGAATGCCAAGAATGAGTTAAGATTCTGTGTGGAGGGGATTCATACGACCGTAGGAAAGCGGCAGTTTCCTTAGCTTCCCAGAGGATCCTAAATACACATATGGTATCAAATGTGGTGTCTATACTAGGAATTCACGGTATGGTTTGGATTAGTATCCCCCTAAACCCTAAACCCAGGTACCTAAAATCCTTTGGATTAGGGTTGAGGGTTTGAGGGCGTCGGGGTGTAGATTTTGGTCCGGGGTCCAGAATTGCTGGATTGCTGTTAAGAAACATTAAATCAAGTTACTACAATAAGGAAACCCTATAGCCTATGATTTGCAAATTTCCCATATTGGCTTGAGGTTGTGGTGTAGTGCATGTTGTGTGTCATCGCTTCCTCAGAATATCAAAAACACCTTCTATGTACGGTAACAACTGCACAGCGCACACAATCCTTTGGCAGTCCCAACTCCGAAAACTAGGGACCATGTAGGAGTCATATGATACTGGCAGCATCCTAATTTTGGGATTGGGGTCACCCAAACGCCCTTATCGGCACCTGTATCTTTCGTACTGCTGCTCGATTTCTACTGTAGCAAAATACCCAGAACCCCAACGCATAAATCCCATAAAATCCTAAGCCTACGGCCTCAAGTTCGTTGGGGGCGTGGACTGGCGTCACAAACAACATTCAGACCTACCTATCTGATATTTACATATGTACATCTATGTATATCTGACATTTTCAAAGGGCTGGGTTTCATGCACAAAGGGGCTAGTACAGTCACACAGAGATATGCGGATTTTTTGGGCTACAGCGTCTTGATAGAACCTCAAGCTCATAAAGTGTTGTGCTGAATGGTTTTGGGGCTAAGAATTTGACAACCATGGGTTCCCTTGCCAGCCCCGCCATACTACCTTCCGTGAGATTCCCCCTTCCTTATTGAGGCAACTCAAAGCGAACCTTCGCAGGGATAGCAGGGGGGTGGGGGGGGAAGGAAATCCCTAAAACAACCTTACAATCGGTGGAACATGCCAGCCAAGCTTCAACCGCTTCTTTTGTGATTGGATCAAACGACACGTTTCCTTTTAGAAAATATACCTGTGCCGTGACTTGTCCTCTCGCTGACGCTTCGAACTTCCAGTAGCGTGAGTGTGATGCTGCTGCCGCATCAGCAGCAAAGCGTACCTCCATGCGATCGATCTCCGTGTCGCTAAACGGAAGTTTCCTGGTCTCTCTTGGGCGAATCAGCCACATAGTCGAAGTACTTGTGAAAGGAGATTCTGTGGAACTTGGAGGTTCCGATGTGCGGGGATTGGCGCTGCTTCCAATCTCCGCATACTCTGTGCTCGTGTACCTGTCAAGGAAATGTTTAGGGACCCTTAAGGGGATACGGGGTATGCGGAGGTGTATATATACATATACGTACACACATACATAAGCGTATAGGGATCTTCTGCAAGTTTTGGAAATTCAAGGATTGCAGAAATTCTTTGACAGGCAAACCTCTCATTTCTGAATGCCCTCGTGCAACCTGCGGACATATCAGGGGTGGAACGGGCAAGTATACGGGTCACCCGTTATGGATAGTAGCAGGCTTGCTGAGGAATTCCAAAGTAGGTATTGCGGCCCGCGCGCACGCGCAAACACACACACACACGCACACACACACACACACACACACACACACACACACACGTGCATCCAAACGCAAGCCCAAATCCGTTGGTCTATCAAGCAGAGCCTGATGTCCTAAGGACATGAAGTCCT